GTCTGTGTGTGTGTTCTCGATGTGACATGATATGATTGTTTATCTTGGAGCAGCTGAGAGGTAAAGTTTAGGACACTGACTCCAGATCAGCAGGTTTCTGACCATCACGTGACAACGAGGCTGTGTCGAATAACATGAGCATGTCCGACCTCTAACCCCTGAGTTTTCAGGAAGATTAGATGATTTATGAGTTTATTAAAATCAGTAGATCAGTGGTCAATCATTTTAAATGCTTCCTGGGTGGAAAAGCCATGATTTTTTTTTAAATTGAAAAAAGCACAAACACATTCTGTCTGAACCTGTGAATGTTTGTTAGGAGGAAAATTACAAGTTGCAGATTGAACTGAAATTTAAGAGCTATACCCAAGTCACTGCAGGAAAAAAGCTGGAGTATAGTTATATGTGATTTATTGATATATTTATTGTGTTCTTCAGTATAAATCACAGTTAACTGCTGTTTTTGTTTTTCCACATTTTCTTTTGACAGTTCAGATTTGATTTTCTAACAAATGCAACCACAGAGCAGGCTAAATTAAAGGCACTTTACTGGAACCATTTGTTCGTGAACAGGCTTACATTTGGCAAGTAGGAGAATCTGAAGAGTGGGAATAAAATGCAAATGGTCAAATGCAGGAAAGCAGGTCAGAGGCAGGTGACAGGTCTCTGTGCAAATGGCAAACAACAGGAAAGGACATGGTTGAAACCTGGCACATGATCAACAATGACAACTTGGCAACTGGGCGAGGTGAAGTGGCTGGTAGCCTATTTATGTGCTGGGGCTTGATGAGGGGATGAGAGACAGGTGTGCACGGAGGAGCAGGGTCAGGTGACTGGCAAAGGAAGGAAACTGTCTGAGGTGCAGAGGTAGAGAATAACAAGGTCATGGTTACAGGAGACTTTGTACCAAGTTTTCATTTACATCGCTGGATAATTAAAGTTGGTTGTGTCATTGTAGAGTCGGTCGTACAGCATGAATTTTCTGGCTAGGCTTGTTTGCTTTTTCAGGTGTTTCAATATCATTAAGCCATGGACATGGACATGCTTTTGCTTTCAGAAGAATCTGAGATTTGTTCATCATTATAACTTGTATACTGATGTGAATATTTACAAGCTGGAAATTGGCAGTGTGGTAACTTCCAACCAGGCATGAGAAGGAAAAGGGTCTGAGGCTGTAGAGGAATTTCTTAACATCTACAACAGTTGACCTAAAACTATCCCTTCATCAACCAAACTTCATATTATCTCCAAAAAAATGCATGAAATGTAAATCTCAGGAGATTTAGACAAATGTGATGTCCTCATATGTACAGAAAAGCGCTGATTATGAGAACTGACGAAAATAAAATCATCATGACCAACATCTTCCATTAGATGCTTGGACAGCTACACGGATGTTTTCAGTGACTCTGGCTGATTAAACCTGTGCTCAGGTTGAGGATGGCTGCAGCAAGGCAGGGTATTAGGTGATGTCATGGAAGCACATGGACTATTAAAGGCAACCTTACATTAACCTTCCATCCAGCAAAACTGCACACAGTACACTCAGTCCTGTAGGACGGTCCTGAGGTGTGAACAGTCTGTTTGAGGGTTGCTTCAGTTTGTAGTCTGGTAGTGTAAAGGGTGACGGCACATTGTAAATATAATTATATGAATTTGCAGGTCAAAATGAACTCTGACCTGCCCCTGACCTATGGAAGATTGCACTGAAACAGGAAATGCATTATTTGATTCTTGTAGAAAAAAATAATAAAGAGATGTCACTTGAGTCAGCTTTTAAGGTCAAAGTTTGAAAATGAAAAAAATCTGGTGGTGTGGAGAGAGAGTTGAGCTTACAAGACCTCTGTAGCCTGCTCCTCACCTCTGCGTGAGGCTAGAGGCTCCAGGGTACTGGAGTGATTGAGTTGCATTGTGGGTAATGTAAGTGCAAGGTTTTGGCAGGGAACAAGAATGCGAGGAATAAAAAACACAATATCTCTTGCTGTGCTGCATCAATTTTGATCATTTTTCTTCTCAACTGTCGATCATGACTCTGACGATGATATAGGTTATAGGAGTGTTGGCTTTGTGAATGCGATATGTCAGTAATGCCTTGAAGGAACTTCTTAAAATCTGGCTCAAATGTCCGCTTGGACTCAAGAATGAACTGCTTAAATTTTGGTGGTCAAAGGTCAAAGTCATGGTGACCTCACAAAACGTGGTTTTGGCTGTGTGAATGCGATATCTCCGTAACGCCTTGAGGGAATTTCTTTAAATTTAGTAAAAAATTTCACCAGGACTCAAGGACAAACTGATTAGACTTTGGTGGTCAAAGGTCAAAGGTCAGGGTCGCGGTGATGTCAGAAAACACTTTTTAGCAATTACTCAAGACTTCACACAGCAATTATGACAAAATTTCACACAAATAGTTCATATTTTATATGACTGGATAAACAGGGAGGTAATCTGTGACAGAGACATACAACCGCGAGTCGGTAATTCTATCTTAATTTAAAATTAGAAAATTTACAGTGATGTTATTAAAGTTATGCTGTTAACTTTGTTTTTTACCATAAGAAAAAACATTTCCTATAAGACTTGCTGCTACTTGCAATGTCCTAAATAGCTATTTTAAGTAAAATCTTTGCTCTCAACATACACAGTCACATAAAGTGACAGGCTGCATGTAAACTGACACAGCTGCTTGTGTGAGGTGAGAGTGCAGGTCAAAGACCTGAGAAGCTGCATCGGTCCACCACCAAACTCAGCAGGTGATCAGTTCAAGTCACAGACGCAGACACGGATTGTTTTACGGCCAGGACGCCGCTGTGACACACTGCTGCTCTCAGGTGTGCCTCACATTAAGAGGTGTTAGTGAAGCAGCGTGGGGGGAAAAAGCAGAGTGAGGCCAGAAACAAGGAGACACTGTCTGCTGACATATGGCCTCTGGCTACACCCGTTGTCTGTGATAATGTCCTTTTTAAAACCCCAACAAAGAGCTCTTTCTCTTCATCTGGATCAGTCCCATTCTCTGCTCCTACTGGTACAGTATGTTTATCACAAAGAGCCAAATACCTCTGTTTGATATAGAACACCATTCCTCTTTGCATTTCAGATATATACTTGATCTTTCTTTATAATCCACTATTTATAATCCAAGAAAAGTGGTTATCTGTATCTGCTGATAGAAAAATATTCTTCATGTGCTCAGGATAAAAGTAAAAACACATTTGTCAGAGGAAACACACTCAGGGTTCAGCTCATTTCTGTGTCACTGTGTGTGGCAGAAGTCATGGCACTAACAGAGTGGTACAGCTTGAACTTCATTAAGCACAAGGATTGCACTTTGGTCTTATGTAAACACTGTTATACCTAAGAGTCACTGATCAAGTTACAGTTCCATTATGTAACTGAGCTGTTACAGCGTGACACTGTGTGTGTGCAATTCATTGTCTGGGTCTTGGTCGCTTTGTTTGCTGCAACACCAGAGTCAGATTTTTGCCAGAAGTGCGGCTGTACCATCAGAATTGCATGCTTCCTTTCTCATAGTAACTGCTACAGGAAGCTGTCTGTGGTTTCTGTATGTCTTCAGCAGAATCAGTCAAATAGTTAAATTGTGAAAACATCAAAAAATCTATTAGAACTGAGCTACAACGCTCAGCCAGTTTCACTTTACGGTAAGTGTAAGCTGTTGACATCCTCCATCCGAGAGGAACCTCTTACATAACACGTAACAAGAGCATGTTTTGTTTAAAAGAACACGCATACATATGACAGTCAGTTTACAGAATCTGACAAAAGGTGGCAGGAGTATCAGGTTTTTAGATTTTACTTTTGCTTATTCAGCCAAAGTAACACATTCAACTTGAACATACAGAATTAGTTTAAAATTAGTGCTTTGGCAAGTTTTCATGTTATAGATACGTTTCCAATTTACACACCTTAATTCAACATACACTTGCAATGCCACTTTTGTATGAATATATAAAATATATAAGCTTTTCTGGATTAGACAGACGTACACCACTGTCTGATTAGTGACCCGAACTAATGGCTTTATTAATGGTTAATAAAACATTATTATTAATGCTTTATAGATCTGTTAAGTCAATAATTTTAGGCTTTACTTTCATATGCAAATGCTTTTTAATAAGCCATCAATTCTGCAGTAATAAATACAAAATGATTAATTAATTGTTCAGTAATTGTGATAAATGCAAAGACAATGCAAGTTTTGTGATGGAGGTGAATTTTTTTTATTTAAAGGACTTATTAATGTCTTGTATTTGTTCTATAAGGCAGTAATAAAATTATGTTATTAAAGACAGTTGTTACTTCTTATAAACTCTTTATAAAGGGTGCCTTAGAAAGTGCTGCCAAAATATGTAAAGGCAGCATGTTTTGCAGTAAGAAAATGATAACTTTGTTTATTGTTATTTGATATTGCATCTATTTTCTTATACTAAGCCAGTTTTTGCAAAGGGATATAATAAACACATGAAATAACATTTAAAATAAGCACGGAAAAGTCTTGAAACATGCGACTACGACCACAGAGGATCGCTGAACAGCATAACAAACATAAATCAGTTCCTACAACACATAGAAAAGAGAAAGAGTTCAAGGAAACTGGACAGTGGAATAGGACCAAATGGTTTCGAAGTATTATTGTTTATTAATTAATTGATCAATTGATTAATCAATTCATCTATGTTTGTATTTATTTGTTTGTCTATTTGTTCGTTTCCTATAAACAGTCACATTCCCAACATTTTCATTTCCAGAACGTGACTATGACGCTCCTCTCACAAGACACCACCTACCCAATATCTTGTTGGCCAGTGTACCGGCCATCTCGCTGCTCATTGGCTAAAGCCGCTGTCAGTCAACATCTCACCACTGTTTGGGCGGTGGGGCTCCAAAAGAAAAATCATATTTTAGTTGAGCGGCTCCGCAGGGAGCAGCTAGTCATTGAAAGCCGGGGCTGACTTCTTGCTGGGGGGGGGGGGGTGTTTTCGTTTAAGTGCTCGCTGCCTCTGGTGCTCATGGATATTTCTAGCTCAGAGAAAAGGGAGTGAGTTAGTATATTGTTGCAGAATGGTATTAAGAAAAAGGCTAAAATGGTGCCTTTGTAGTGGGAGTGTTAATGCTGCCGGTGCCTTGTAGCTGTAATGAAAGTTAGCTTATGAGTAGCTAGCTGACTAGCCCATGCTAGGCCTTCCCTTTCGTCCGGTTTGTCAGGACACTTTATTGTTTTATTTCTCTCTTTGTAAACCAGCGTTTTGTTGCTCTTTTGTTTGCTGGCGTATGCTGATTTTTTTTTTTGCTTTTTGCTTCCTGTGGTTCATAAGGAAGTGAAATGAAGAGGGTGAACAGCTTTCAGAGGTGGGTGAAAACCTGATAATCAGCTTGTAAGAATAATGTTTTGCTGATATTATTTAACCATATGAATGCTAATCAGTTGTGGTTAGTTACCTCATTCTAACATAATATGCACACAGGACAATTCAAACTAAATCACTGTTAAATTTTGGATTTATTGTATCAACTCTGGAACAGAAAATGGTAAATATAGTTGTATTAGGGTTGAAAGACCAGCGAATTATCATACAAGCCCATTACAAAAAATGTAATTCTCTGGTGTCAGCCTCTCAGATGTGAAAATTGTTGCTTTTCTCTGTTTATTTATTGTTGCAAATTGAATATCTTTTGCTTTTGGACATTTTGTGATTTTAGACTAAATCAACAAGAAACAGAGTGGCTGATAATGTTATTTTCAGCTCTAAATGTTATGTTAACCAGTAATATATGCAGTATATGAACCTATATTTTGTGAAATATAAATAAGGGCAATGCCTTTATAATTGTCTGTGCACATGAACCTGTGCAAGGCTAATTAGCTTAGGCAAAGTTATATAATATACTTTTAGTCCTCAGTAGTAGTAGTAGTAAGTTCAATATCACGTTAAAGTTCTTAGTTTATTCTGTATTTTGTTATTTTATTTGTTTGTTTTGTTCCTTTGTATGGTGTGCCTTGGCTGCCCTATCTATCTATCTATCTATCTATCTATCTATCTATCTATCTATCTATCTATCTATCTATACATTTACTTTGTATGGTTTATTTGATTTATTGTTATCAATACTGGGAGCTACTTTACATCCGTAAATAAACATTTACACCAGTCCGCGATAAGGAGCGATTCAGGACAAAGGTCTTGTTTGAGTACAGTGCACAATCAACCTGCCAAACTAGTTAATATTTACTTTTTTGTTTTTTGTTTTATTAATTTGTGTGTTTCAGGTTTATGAACAGACGGGCCTCTGCTAACTGCCGCTACCAGCCCACTTGCTATGAGCATGCTGCAAACTGCTACACTCATGCAGTGAGTGGCTTGTATTTCACTTTTGATCTCAAATGTAGAGTTGTTCAACATCACTGACACAAAATATTTAAGTTGATTAGAATATCTATCAACTGAGTTGCATGTTTTTTTTATTTGAATGTTTCTGTGATTTGATTGCCGACCCTGTAGCTCCTCATTGTGCCGGCGGTCGTGGGCATGGCGTTACTGCACCGTCTGTCGGACAACCGCTGGGAGAGGATCACAGCCTGGGTGTACGGCATGGGCCTCTGCGCCCTTTTCCTGGTCTCCACTGTGTTTCATATCATCACCTGGAAGAAGAGCCACATGAGGTGAGGTGAAGCAAAGTGATGAAAGAGCATACTGGCAGAAAACCATGGCTGACATGTACCAGCACAAACTGTCATAAAGCCATATGTACATGACATACTTGCAAGTACAGACGTAACGCACGAGGACACAGACCTGACAACAGAGCACGGGGACACAAACAATCAGCTATTCCTGTTGTAATATTTAGAGTGAGAGTAATAGTATACAGTGTAGCCGGTCTCTGATTTCACAGGCAATAATACCGCGCTGATACTTCACTGTTGACGAGCACACGTTCATCTTTTTGGATTCCTTAACTTCCTCTGTGGCTTTTTTTGTCCTGGAATTCCACTATTTGGTTTCAGGTTTCATATCAAACCTTTGCTGTCTGTCTTTCTTGCGCACTGTGTACAACAGGTCGACTCATTACATTAATTTGAGACTTCTTGTAAAACTTCTTTGACAGGTGGGAATGTTGTAAAGGCCTGTTGTAGATTTGGAATGGACAGTTTTACAGTCAAAAGAGACTGTGCGTCAACAACAATGAATAATGATGTAAAACCAGTCTATGGTTATGCAGCAAATTTATTTTAACTTAGTTTGAGGATGATTTTGTCCTGAATGAGCATTGATGTGTCATTCCTTTATTTTAAAGTTAAAATCTTAACTATTTAATTCAGTCAGTGGTGATACATCCCTCACACTTTGCTGCAGAGAAATGTTGATCAGGTGTGTCCGATCACATGTCCAGTTAACACTGCCAGTGTCACGTACCTTAATCACTTTAGTAAATACAGGTTATTTACATTCATGTCGTGTTGCTCTGGACCAAAAACAAGAAGTTGAAGCAACTTGGCAAATGCCACCTCAGATTCTCAGTCATCTTTGCTGTAAGCCTTGTTGAGGTTGTTGTTTCTGTTCATGGTCCAATTTTTATTTCTTGCTTTATTGTGAACTACTCAGCTCTTCTGTGGAAACATGACTTCCTGAGAGCCAGAGGGTTTTTTTTGCCCTACATGAACATGCAAATAATGTCTCTGTTTTGTACATCAGAGGCATCGAGAAACAAAGAACTTACCTCTTCACCTGCTTGTTGTTGGTTTCAGGTCTGTGGAACAGTGTTTCCACATGTGCGACAGAGTGGTCATCTATTTCTTCATTGCTGCCTCCTACACACCTTGGTGAGTATCAGACAGGAGCTCAGTATAGACTCAGAGGAGTTTGTGTCTTGACACACATGGAGACATAACGTGTGTCATTGTCTTTGTCTCTGCTCAGGTTAAACCTGCGTGAACTGGGCCCTCTAGCAGCACACATGCGCTGGTTTGTATGGCTCATGGCTGCTGCTGGAACCATCTACGTCTTCAACTATCATGAAAAGTGAGTTCATGTCACAGTCGGATCACCCAGTGGTTGTGTTTGTATCAGAAATTAGGAATATAAAATTTTGGATCATACCCTTTTTGTGAAGTTATAGAAAGTTTGTGATTGTAACTACCAGGAGTCTCTCAGTCAATACAATAACAAAAGACAGTGAGTTTGGTGATGTTGTGAAGTAGCGTAGGATCATGGAAATTGTTGTATTTACCATCGTTACAGTCAGCTTCTCCTGCTTAGGATAAGTTAAGTGTCAGTCATTCAGGCCGTTTTGTTGCTACTGGAATTAACCATAGGTCTCCTCCTCCTCCTCCTCCTCCTCCTCCACTGAAATAAGCAGTTTCATGTTAAAAATTTGTGTTTGTTGGACACAGGATGTCTAAGAGGGGCTGAGAGCTCAGCGGCGGCTAAAGTTTGCTTAGCTTTGTCCGATGACTTCGTATGAGAAATTCTTTATCTGGTTAAAATACATAGTTAAAAACAACCAAGATCTAAAAAGAGTATCGTAAAGATGTGTTTAAAAATTGGGGAAAAAGTCAATTTTCTGACAGACAACCATGACACTGATGCATGTGCAAAGGGGATATTAAACCGTTAACAGGTTTCTGTAGGTTTGAAAATTGCTGGAAACATTTGGAATAATGTAAGTTCACAACTCAACAAAATGTATAACATAGGTGTAATTGTTTTTAGACATTTTAATGAGGAAAAGTTACATATTAGTTACTTGATTGATTAATTGAGAGAATAATTGACAGATTAATCCATATTAAAAATAAAATCACCAAGAAAATGAAATCACTTAAACAACAAAAGGAATACAATGAAGGAAAAAACAAACAAAAAAAAACAATACACAAAGTCCATATTGTTATACAAATTACTTAGAGTCATTTTTTTCAAACGTCTGAAGAACCCTGCTGCCATCAGACTCATGCATCAGGTGAAAATGTGGTTTAACTTTGTTAATTTTACTCCTACCGGTCGCTCTGTTTACTGTTTGGTGATAAACGGATCTGCTTTCATTATGTGGAATTGAGGAAGCTTTAAGGCAGGTTTGGCAAGTTGTGTCTGTGTTTGTGCTTAGTCACTTAAATGCCTTGACTGCTGCCACATGAAGGACATCATTACAATAATTTTCTCTGCAAGTTTTCTGCTGAAAGTCTTAAACCACCTATGTTTTTTAAATCAAAAGCTTTTTTCAGTGCTGCGTGACTAATCGATTACTAACAAATCAGGACAAAAATACCTGTCAAACAAGCATCATTAAAACAAACCTTTATGAACTAGCCTTAATTGGCAGAAGTTGAGCACAAATGTTAATGTCAAAACTTCAATTCACCTCCAAGATTATCGCTGTCCTGCCTCCAAATAATGTTTAGAATTAGCTCCAGTAATGAAGTCCCTCATTTTTAGATCATTTGGTGCTACTCTGGTTACACTTAAACACAGTCGGTGAACATGACGTGTGTGTGTGTTTCTGTCTTCACAGGTATAAACTTGTCGAGCTGGCCTTCTATTTGACGATGGGATTTTTCCCAGCATCAGTTGTGACGTCAATGGTAATTTTATTTAAAGTCACATTCAGTTTGTTGACATGTGACATGTCACTTCTTCCAAACAGCAGCTCAACAGGCTGCTGCAGCAGGGTGGAGGTGTGTGAGTGTCTGATACTTCCTCTTCTCACTGACACAAAAAAAGCAGTGGTCCTCAAAGTTGTTGTTTTTCTCTCGGCTCACTGTAAAGTGAGAGGTTTTATTTAAAGGTGTAATATGCAGGATTTGTCAGTTGCTGTCGGGAGACAGGGCGTGGCATTAGCAATTACAAAGCAGTGAATCAGAGAAACTAAATGTTATTTCTAAATGTTTCACGTCGGTTACATTTTAAAGCACAAGCAAACATTCCCTCTAAAATTCTTTGTAACTTGCCAGCCATTTTTGAAGTTTGTGGGAAAAAATGGAAGCAGAGAATATAATGTAATATTTATGTTGCTTCCCTTTGGTAATCGTCAGGAATGACAAAGTTTAATTCAGTGGCGTAGGTCTGGTGGGTTGTTGGCTGGGTGGACGGGTTGGGGGGGCACTTGATTTTTGATCGGATGCAATGCTTCGTTTGTATTTGTATTTTTGTGCACCGAAAATATTCAATAAAAAGACATGGGGGGGACATTGTGTGAACGCAGCCCTCGCTTAGCCCTCGCTTAGCCCTCGCTCAGCCCTCGCTCAGCCCTCGCTCAGCCCTCGCTCAGCCCTTGTTCAAACAGACTCACTCTGCACCGTCTTTTTTTCTTCGTTTTAATCTTTTCCTGTGTGCATGCTGGTGTTTTATACTTAATATTTACTATGTGACCAATCCACAGTCAGACTCAGTAGATTTTATTTAAGTAGATAGCTGGAGATTTACTTTATGTAACATCTCCTGTATTTCCCTTGTTCCTCTTGTATCCTGCAGAGCAACACTGAGGGGCTTCAGGAGCTGGCCTGCGGAGGACTCATCTACTGCCTCGGCGTGTTCTTCTTCAAGAGCGACGGCGTCATCCCCTTCGCCCACGCCATCTGGCACGTGTTCGTGGCGCTGGCTGCAGCCGTGCACTACTACGCCATCTGGAAATACCTCTACAAGGCTCCCAGCGCCGACACCCTCCTCGACTCGTGACCACAGCGGGTGGCCCCCGTTCTCCTCCCCTGAGCAAAGGCGCTTTGCACACCGACTCCCTCAACTGCCCGCTGAAGCTGCAGCGACAGCCGAAAAGTTTACGAAAAAATATTGACCATGAATTGTTTACTGTTTTCTAATGTGGAGGAGAACAGGTTTTTCAGCGTCTCCATGATGAACAAAAGCTACTTTAAAAGCTGTTTTGTACAACTTCAGTCTAAAAAAAAAACAAAAAAAAACAAAAAAAAAAAAAAACTTGACAGTGAGGGAGGGATTTTTGAACTTTTTACTCTTGGTGTTAAACTGGGCACATTCATGAGCATTTGAGAAATTTGATAGCAGTCTTTTGTATCACTTGAAGAAAGTCACATTCCATATCAAAACCTGGAGACTCAAACATTTCAGCTGGTGATTTGAACACTGAGGATACGAGGTGCTAAAAATCAGCTCTTTCCATATCATACTTGAGTTGCAGTACCAATACCAAAATTGTACTTTTTTTCCCCATGCTTTTGAGAAATATGACTGTTTAGCTACAAAACCTTTTTTTTTCATTTAACAAAAGAAGCCAAAGGTCTCGTGTTTTTAAACATGCAGCTTTGCCAATGTAAAATGGTTTCAAACTGGCAAAATTTGATTTAAATCAGGAATCAACTGGTGTCTGACGAGACGTTCAACGCCAACTTTCTGTACCAAAAAGTGTTCGTTTCGATACCCAACCTTAATCAGTAGTCTGAGCTTGTTACTTGGTCACGAAGAAAAAGGTCTTTTTTTCTGTTTCTTTCTTTCTTTTTTTTTTTTTTTTTTAACAAAGATGACATTTTCAACCCATCTGATCCAGGTTCACTCTCCTGACTTGTATCCAAACACAGTCCTCAGTTTTCAAAGAACCACGCTTGATTCTGGTGGTGTCTGGCGCCCCCTGCTGGTGGGGACCGGAGTTAAGGAGGTGATTCATGACATTACAGGAAGTGCGGAGGCGACACGCGTGATAGATGTGGATTTTGTTAATGAGCCAAATGAGAGAAACTCAGTTCAGGCAGTGTGATGATGAAACAGAACTGTTCCACTGTATTTGTAATGTGAACAGCGTGCAGTAGTGTGTGTGTGTGTGTGTGTGTGTGTGTGTGTGTGTGTGTGTGTGTGTGTGTGTGTTATGTGGGTGAATGTGAGCATGTGATGTGTTGTGTGAGTGGCACATGTGTGTGTGTGTGTGTGTGTGTGTGTGTGTGTGTGTGTGTGTGCGCGACCTTTATACTGTAGTCCAATATTACATTTCCACTGATTCTCTCTGTTTTTGATTTGCACCACTAGGACGAACAGTGTTTCCTGTCTGTATTCTGACGTGGGTTTGATAGGTGAAGAAACCTCATGTTCTTGCTTTTGATTTATGGTTTTGTAAATTTGCTCAATGGCTCCTGACTCATGAAATTACCTTTCCGTTGCTCTTCCTCTTAGTGATGTATGGAGCTGAATGATTGCATATTTCTTAAATTGTGGCTCTTGTTGAAATGATTTCCTTAACCACTCTGTTTTGTAATGTTTGTATATTCTGTTGTTTGTTCTGTTGATTACATGAATCCTGGCCTTTGCAGGGAAAAAAACTGCTTCCTGTCTATTCCATTGGCTGTTAATGGTGCTGCATAAACATGAATGCTCCTCCACTATACTGAATATCACCTTTATAATGTGACAATAAAAAATAATAATGCCCCACGTCTGATGAGACAAGACTGTCATTCATTGTGAGCACTCAGCTTTCCTTTTAAATTCAGTTAGCACCGACTTGTTCTCAGCAGGAAACCAGACTCTTATTAGACAGACTCTTTTCCTGCAGGGATACAATTTTAACATGTCCATTCTTTTGAGTTGACTTTCTGTCAGAAAAGTGAAGATACAAGAGATGTAAAACTTAAAACTATTTAAAAAAAAAAAAATCAAACTTACTGTGGCTGCAGCGTTGACCAGAGATAAAGGCCACTATAATACCACCTCACATTTAGGGAGGGATAGAGAAATATTCTGCTACAGCCCCAGTGTCAAATGTAGATCCTTCGAACTTACCCCAGCTGTAATTACCGGGGCTGGGCACTTAACTCTTAAACCCTTGTTTTACCAAAATGATGTTTTTTTCTTCAAAATAAAAAAAAAAACCTAATGAAATCCTCAAATGCTTAAATATACCAAATTTCTGAAAGGCATCAGCTGTCTCAAAGATTGATTTATAGTTGCGACAAAGATACTTTAGATGAGATATTTAGATATAAATGTATAAAACTTGCCTGATTTTTTCATTTAAATATCTGATAAAAAATTAGACTGAGGCATTTGAAGCCAGTTCTCAGTACATGACTGTTTCAATATTCTGTGCTATGGGTCCATTTCACTTAATATCGCCAAATTTTTATAATAAATAATTAATTTTATAATGATAATAATGATATCAAGATTTCAAGACGAACGTCAAACTGTAGCTTGAATAATTAAACATTTCTCTACAAAAAACTTTCTTTTTTGCCCAATTTGTAGATGCATCAGTGTTTAATGTTTGAATAAAATATAGCGTTAAATTAAAATGTAATTTTGTCATTTTAAAATGTAAAAAGTCCCAATTTTTTGACTTAAGAGTAAAAAAAACATCTGAAAGAACAATTTAAACTAAACCAAGAATTCAGTGCCAAATACAGTTTTCTATACTTAATGCTGCGGACACTTTTTTGGTTCATACTCAAAAACAATTTTAATCTATTCTGAGAGAGATAAATAAGACCATGTCAGAAAAGAATTGGGATTTTATTAGACACTACAAATTACAGAGAGACAGAGAGGCTGAGGGCTGAACAGCACAAACAAATGTTATGCATCCATTCCATGACAGACAAGACCGAATACTCTTTTATGTTGTATTATTATACACTCTGAAACAGTCCGTTGGTGTTGCCATGAATACAATGGTTACAAGTCTGTTGCAATGTCCAAAATAAGAAATGAAAGGAGTCAGTGTATATAATATATAGATTTTTGATGCACTAAGAAGCCCTTCAGTGCAGATCTGAACCTATCCGAGTGGTGCTGTGATGAGATCTTTACATTGCTGAGAGACTGGGGAACAGTCAGTGTATTCAAGGCACTGGAATAGACTCAGAATTATGGTTAACATTTCCGGGTGAGGTAGTGAAATCACTCGACAGTGAGGTACTTTTGGGATACACATGGATTAATTATTGGCTTTTTCCTATATATATACGACTTCATAAAAAGATGCTCCAAAGATTCACGGATCAGCATCATTCCAGTCTTCACTTTTCTCTACAAACCCTGTTCACACTCGAGTGCATCTGTGCAGAAAAGGTGCAGAAGGGAAACACCCTCTAGAGCACAAAAAACATTAAGACCATAGTTTGCGGTTAGAAAAGAATAATTTCATATCGCACACACCTTTGGATTGGATAGATAATGTTCAGCCAAGTCTGGGCTTGGATCAGACTGATCTGTCCGTTTGCTGTGTTATTGGGCCGATACTGGCTTTTCTGATTGTTATGTTTAGGTTTGTTATGTTTTTAAATTCCCGTGTTCCGATGTTTTTCCCAACATGACCTAAATTTGAACAGACATTCAATAAAATTATGGATGTCCACAGCTGCCAATAATAAAATTAATTCATCAAATTTCCATTTCCATGTAAAAAAAAAAGCACAATTAAGGAAAAGGAAAAAAGCGGATAGATTTTTGTTTTATTTTTATTTTTTTAAACAAAAAATGAAATGTAACTTTTCTTTCTTAATTTGGCCGACAGCCTGAACTTAAAATTGAAATTGCAAACTGGACTTTTTGAATTTGAATTTGTCCAGTGGGGGGAATCGCTCCTTGCAGGGTGGCTATTTTTCAGCCTTAAGATAGTTTTAATCATTCGTCATGTGCACACAAATGGAAAATAAATTTTTCTTGCAGACAGATAAGAGGATGGTTAATACCACTTTCATATCTGTGCAGTAAATTTAAGACTACAGCCAGCAGCTCTTTAGCACAGGTTACTGCAAACAGGTGGAAACAGCTAGCCTGGCTCTGTCCAAAGGTAACAAAATCCCTCCTATCAGCATTTCTAGCTCACTTAATAATGTCGTGTCTAATTTGTTTAATCCATACAAAAACTTAAGTGTCAAACAACAACACACATTAGTTTTTGTACAGAATCTGGAGGTGCTGGTAGGTGGGTCTTGTTAGCACTGATCAGAGCTAGGCCAGATGTTTCCAGCTAACTGGCTGCAGCCATATATTCAATACACAGATAGAGTCTTGCTGTAACTATTCTTTTAGATAATTTAATTTGAATATTTGCATAACTGGACTCCCATAGTATGGTCAGAAATGTCAGTATCAGCCTTCAAATACAGTAATCGGTCTCATCCCACTTGTGACTGATTGGCAGAAAACTCTGCAGCATGCAGCTCTACACTACAACACAAGTAACGGGGGGGGGGGGCTTAAAAAGCTTTCCAGTATCCATCACTCAGGCTCAGGGACACGCTACAACTGCATTGGCTGAAGGAACCAATCACACACAGACAGAGCAGCAATAGTAACCAGCTATAGATTTCCCTTCCTTCATAGTAACTTCATCCCGTCAAATCAGATCAGAAAGAAACAAGACTCACAAGCTGCGTGTTTACAGAAAGCCTCGACAAGTTTGAAGATTCGCCCTTGAAAGAAAGAAAAGCCGGTTGCCAGACAACTTATGTTGGAACGCATTTTTTTTGGGGGGGGGGGGTTGCCACACTAAACACGATGAACTGTGTGTTTTTGCATTGGATGTGAGTCGATAGATTTTGGAAAGGGCCTATCTTTACATTCTTTCTTCTGGACTGCATTTTGTTTTGGTGCATCTGATTCCTATGAGTTTGATGGGATCTTAAAGGTGGCACCAACATAAGAAGGAGTGTTAATGATGGTGATAATCATAATAATGCCCAGGAAGTTTAGGTGCTGCTGAATATCCACAAATCTCTGTAAAACTACCACATCCTAACTAATATAGAATATTAAAATACCACTATATGCATTTGTCTTTTAGTTATATACTTGTATTTTTTAATAATATTTTGGATCTGTTGTGCCTTTAAAATACATAGTTCAGTAATGTATAGGAAAAATACTGTACAAAAAGAACAACTTATAGAATAGGTTTATATAAACATATCTCTTGTAACCAATATATCATCTCTGTTGTGAATAGTTTGGTTTGCAGTAAACAAATTGATTGGGTTAACCACAGTATTGGACAACACCATCCAACCTTTTTTGTCAGCATCTTTTACATTCATACAGCCATCTTTAAAAAGAAGGCAAACATAGAGCTACAAAGAGAGAGAGAGAGAGAGAGAGAGAGAGAGACTACAGACATCTGTTGATTTCTAAAATAAAGACACTCATCGATCATGCTAAATTAAACAGAAGCAAAAAAAAAAGAAAAAAAGAATTATCAACAACTTTGCAAATAAAAAGAAAAGATTTGTAAATAGCTTTTCATTCTGTAAAAGAAATCATGCTTAAATCTGAAAACAAGGAGGAGGCTAAACGACAACAATGTCAAGAGAAGTATTAATACTAACAATTATATCAACAGAATATATATATAAAAAAACAACAATCTTCCATCTGAGAAATAAAGGGTAGATAAATATGAGGCGGAGGAAAATTTTGAGCGAGTGGAAACATTGCACCGGATCAGATTGTGAGACACGCATTAGTGCAGAGGTTAACTAAGGTTATCCCAGTTAACGGAGGTGAGCTAATGTGAGGTGGAAACAGAGAGTTCTCTCCCTGTTGCCAGCGGTGGTGGTGGGGAGGGGAGGAGAGGGGAGCAGGGAGGGGTGTCATGGTTGTCATGTCAGTTAAGTTTCTGGACAGGGATTATTGCTCATTGTCCGGGTGATGAAGAAAAACCATAATGATGGTTTTTAAAAAACGGCAAATTGAAAAAGATTTTTTTTAAGTGCAATTTTACGCTAAAATACCGAGGATGCTGTTAGAGAAGCCGGAGGGGAGTTGTGTTAAGTTAGAACGGGGGGGGGGGGCAACTGATATACAACATGAACATCGAGAGAGGATCAAAAACAAGATGATGTTGCTGATAGAAGAAAAAGCAGACCTCGTACAGGGTTTAAAAACACCAGTTTTTGGGGGGTAAAAGCAGGTTCTGACACGTCACATGGTTATAAGACAGAAGAAGAAGAAGAAGGGAAACAGGAAACAACAGTTTTCAGTCCTGATGTCACGTATAAAATCGGTATGAAAGTGAACAACAAACAGCATGGCATTGTTTCTCAAAAGTGGAAGGTAGCGGGGTTTGAGGGAGGGGGGGGGCTCAGCTGGTGGGTTGGCTCATAACTCCTCACAGTACATTAAAGTGGGAAGTATGCATGTGTAAATATATATATATTTATCTATGTATATGTATATATATTCAGTCGAACGATGTGTACAGAAAATAAAAGAAGGAACAGACAAATCGAAGCTTATGATAGAAGTCAAAATGACAGTTATAATACCAGAATCATACAGGTGTGTGTTGGAGGAGGGCGGGGGAGGAGGAGGCAGGGCGGTGGGGGCAGGTGGAAGGAAGGGGACGTGGTGGAGAAGGTGGAGGAGGAGGGGGCAGTGTCACCAAAAGAGACACATTGTCCTTCAAACTCGAGGAAAGGGTGGGTTGGGGTACTAACGTGTTGGGGAGGAACGAGCGGGGGGGGCTTGGCGGTGGTTGGGGGAGTTGGAGTTTTGGGGGCTCACAGGGGCCCGTGCCGGGCCTCGTATTTAGCCAGAACGTTCTTGCAGCGGCCCAGCTCCTTCCTCAAGTCCGCTACCTCCATGCGGAGAGCGGCGTTCTCCTTCTCCAGGAAGCCAGCCCGGATGGCGATCTGGTTCTCCTTCAGCCGCCTGGCGTCCCGTGACCGCTTGGCTGCCACATTGTTCTTTCTGCGCCGGGCCCAGTACTTATCGTCCTAAGGGGGAAGAACAGACAGGTCAGGGCTCAGATCACAAATTACCAAATGAATTCTGTTCCTTTTCCCTTCACCAGCTCTGAACCTGGTGCCTGGTCCTCATCACCTCCACACAGGAAGGAGACGACACGCTGGTCTATGATGTCCATATTGAGCTAACTCCACCTCCCTCCACCCCCTACAGGTCCACAGACCCTCTGTTGAAAACCTGGAGCTTATTTTTTTTCTTTTAGAAAAGACTAAAAATAAATAGAAAGGTAATAATTTTGTGCTGTAGCACGTCAGAGTGTGGGTTTCTGTTATTTCATGCTGTGATTCATCTCAACTAACCAACCTGAACATCAGTGTTGCACCATATTTAGCAGCAACTGTATTAAATAACCATTTTTTCTGACTCAAGTTGCAGTAAGGAATTATTATCAAGCTACTTTTATATTCACTGACTTTATTTCAGGTCAATTTTAAGTGTGACGACATTTCAAGTATTCAGCCTCCTCCTTCTGAATTTTCCTTCTGTAAAAGAAAAGAAACGACCTTTTTAAAAATACAGCTAAAAGTCGTACTTTTACTCTTTGGCCTTTCAGTCTGACCATATTCTGTTCACACTGTTTGATAGCGAGCTCTTTCGTTCTTTCTGTGTATTTCTTTGAAGCTAGTCGACAGGAAGCCTCAGCAGGTTTTTGGTATCGTCTGAAATGTCACGGTACCAAGTGTCAAATACTAATCAAGTACTAAAAGTTTGTTCGCTTCATAATCTTGATTACTTGATCTTCAATCATCTAATATAAAACAATATTGACCTGATTTTAAACTAGCTCTTGTACGTTTGAACATTTTGAAAAATGTAGCTTTGTTTATTAAGTATTAAGTAAAAACATGTTTTTGTGGTTTATAGTCCCAACAGTGTGGCATCAGAAAACTTGGATATGGATACAATGTTGATTTGTGTTTTGTACTTTTTTTTCCTTGAGTCGATCAGTTATAGAATAAATAAAGCATCAAACCACCTTCATCATAGTGAAGTAGATAACAGGCAGAAATTCAGTTATTTCAGGTTAGTTGAGAGGAGCTGAGATAAACGGCTGCATACTATTCCTACATCATTATTCGGATTTGTTTATTCTCTCCACTGGTTTTTAATATGTCAACCACTTCATCCTCATGCTTGAGAATTTAGCTTGTTTGGCTTTTAGTCCGGGGTCTGCCTCCCCTCAGGGTTTAACCAGCCTTAGACCTTCACCGTCTTATATAACAACAGGTCCCAGCACTGGATCTAATCTCACATCACCAAAAACACTCCCGCCCCAGCTAAACCCGACGAGTGAGAGCAGCAGGTCACCTTCAGGTCTTCGGGAATGAAGACCTTGCGGGCTTTTTTGATCATGGGCTGCGGCTTCAGCTCCTCGGCGGAGAATTTGCGTTTCCTGGGGTCGAACATTTCCTGGCCGGGCACGCTGGACAGAGCCAGGTCTGCTGGGTCAGGATCATAGGTCACGGGCACCTGAATGGACTCTGGGTCGATGGGGCTGGGAGTGTCCCGGGATGAGGGCAGTGCTGCAAAGGAAAAGAACATATATTATCTACTGCGTGCAACAGTGTTGAAAACCTCTAATTATTTGTTAGTGACGGTAGAAATGAGCAGGAATCAAACTCCTCTGAGTTCAACTCTAATGGCAGAAATGGCACCATTAAAGTTCCAGGTGGCAGCTCCATATGGGATAATTGGTTATGTAACATCATGAGTTCTCATCAGCAAATCTTTTAAAGCTGGACAGAGGAGACAGGAGGAACTGCGGTGGGTAACTCTGCTGAGAGCCTCTCGCACCGCGGGGGTGGGGGCCTCTGAGGGGGAGCTGAATGCCGCCTTTCATCCCTCTGAGCTCACATGTTTGTGTGTTCGACGGCTGATCCTTGAAGAAATGTCAGACTTTGACTTAGCGTCGGTGCAGATGTGAAGCTTTTTCTGGAAAAACAACGTCTTGCCTGCGTGTTCCTGATCCGACCAGCAGGTGGTGCTATCACACAAGCCTTTACAAACACATAGGTAAACACAGACTGATGCATCACTTCGCAAGCTGTGTTATCTCCAGACTCCGCAGGTATCAGCTGCCCCTGTCAGCTGATCTCAATCCAGCAGATTGGAGCTGCTGCATGCTTTCACATCTCCGCCCGTTGTGTAAGGCTTCGGCTTCTCTAATTGATTCGAGGTCATGGAACTACCAGTGGAGGGTGATTCAGGTTATTAGCCGGCCTAGATGGAACCGTTACTGTGTGATTCATTACATTTGCAGTGAATTCTTTTGTAATACAAACCACAGCTGCATCGATACAAAAACCTTGTCGAGCAACAACAACAACAACAACAACAACAACAACTAGGTATACGCCTGAAAGCAGCAGAGTGTAGTGAGCATTTTCACCAGTTGCTGATGATCTGCTCTCAGCTTGTACATCATGACCCAGATTTTTGTTTGCGAGCGTGCCGTGACAGCCAGTCAATGCCACTGACCTTCGGTCAGAGAATACGCGGGTGAGCTGCTTTCTGCTTTTGGCTGCGGTGGAAGTTTGAGAAGGGGCCGTCGGACTCGGCTCTGACTGCTTTCTCTGTGCTGATCAGAAACAAACAGGAAGTCTGTCCTGTGCGTACGTCAGGAGACGCTGCCCTACCCAGAGGAAGTGATGGACTCCTTCAGAGACATGAAAACCTCAAGCTGGTGCCACACACCGCCTCAGATTTGTCTGTTGAGCTCAAGGAAAACAACATTTCTGTGCTGACATGGAACACAGTGTTCGTTTGAGGAACTATGCTGAAACCATTAAAGCGTCTAATTATCACCTCATAAAGCTGAGCATGAATGTGGAAAAATTCCCCAGTGAAAACACACCAGCAACTTTCTCACACATGTTTCAAATACATGTCTCTGACAGATGGCATGTTGAAGTCCACTACACACAGTCAGGACTGGGTGTGGTTTGAAATTTTTCGATCAGATAACAAAACAATGACTTTATTTTTAAATTAAAGAGATGTCGACAATTCACTGCGTTCATTTCACAAAAAGGAGCTAAAGGTTTCAAGCATCAAAGTGCTGAACGAGAACTTTGCCTCTAAAAAACAGGCGACAGATATTAACTGAATGATCTGCCAATTATTTTCTTGATTAAATTATTCATTGTTTAGTCTATAAATTGTAAGAAAACTGTGAAAATCACAATTACCCAAAGCCAAAATATCTTGTTGTGGCATACCTCAAGCCCAAAATCAAAAGATGTCAAGAAGAAATGTTGGCTAGACAGTCTTCATCTTCAGACCCCTGAAGTTTTTTTTTTTTCAAAGAGCACCAAGCAAAAAATCTTGTGACGTAGCTACTTTCCATAGAATAGTCTCCACTAACGTCCTCTCTCTGTATCTACTCTGTTCAATGAGCGGCGGAGCAGCAGTTTGTTTCCCAGATGGAGGCTGTGCGCCGTGTGAGAGACCAAATAACAAAGATTTTCTCTCTCTTCTAACTTTTCTCACTCTCTGAGTGATGGTTTTAAAAGTAAATACAGCTGAAATCACAGCTCAGTCTTTGTTTTTAATTTTTGTGTTTAGTGATTTTGTCAGACGATGTTTTGGTTATAAAATCTGGATTTTAGCAGCAGCTTCAAGTTAACATGTCGTCTTAATAGACCACAAGAGCTGAAACCTGCTGAATGCAAATACATTATGAATATGCTAATTGGCGTATTATGTCATTTAGCAACATTTAGCAACTAGTTTATAACAGTTTACAACTACGTCCTGAATCTCGCACAATGAGCACACAGTCCAGACGTATACAAAGTTTAGTCTTGTTTAATGATTAACTAATCTAAAAGTAAACAAGACATCAAGAGTACAGAAGACAAAAGAATTAGTAACTAACTAATGATTTTAATTTAATTATCCATTCATCTGATGTTTATTTTCCTGATTAGTTGGTGACGTCTTCAAATTGTTTGTTTTGTTCAAACTGTCTGAAAAACAAATGTATTTAATTCAAAATGATACAGAAACAGAGAAAAGCAGAAAATCTGAAGATCTGGAACTTTAAGCTTTTTTGTTCGACCAATTACTTCATTGTCTCATCGGTTTGGACAATGACTGATAATGAAAATAATCGTCAGTGCCAAATAAGTTTAAGTAAGTAAGTAAACAAGTTAGTTTAATATTTTGGGGTTTTGAACTGTTGATTGGAAAAAATAAGACATTACACCTTCAGATTTGAGAAACTGTGATGAGCATTTTCCACTATTTCCTGTCACTTTATAGATGAAACACCTTATTGACCGATCATGATGACACTCGAAAATAAAAATCAGCTCCTAGTATCACCTGATTCCTTTGTGCCACAGTTTTATTGTCGAGGTAATCCATCCATAAGCTAAGAAACATAACAACTGACATAACTTCCCACCATTCATAACCTGAGTGCTGCCAGACAGAAAGCTTCTTACTAACTAAAAGTAGACGCCGTCTTAGACAATCTCTCAGGCCTGCACACAAAACTGGAAATAGCCCACCTCGCCCTAATCACCTTTACGAGTCATTTTGATCTCCTAATTAGTGGAGTTTAAGACACAGTAGCATGATCACGGGCTAAAAGTAGAAGCACAAGCCTGTTCGCTGACCCGTAATGTGCTCAACTAATGTACGACGCCGAGTGTGGATTCACAAAATACCCCCCCCCCCCCCCCTCCTCCTCCTCTTGAACAGGAAATCTAAAATTAACAAGCCAGGAAAGGTAGAGCCCAGAGCTGACCTACAAAGAGCCGTGTGGGGGCTGGACTACACAGGTTTTTTTGGTTAAGTACCTGTAGAACTCGCTTTAGTTTGACGTGATAGTGACATCATTTTTATCTATTTACACACAGAAACACTCATACGCTCATACACACACACACACACACACACACACGCACACACCCTGCTGGCTGTAGGTTGGTGTCACGCTAGATGTTCATATCAAAGTGTTATCACCTTGCTGTGAGAGTGATAATACTACAGTTAGTGATAAGTGGAGCCGTTGGCTCTATCTGTGTACAGTGACTGGGCAGCTGAACTTTGACCTGGGTGTAACACTGGACCAACAGCAGCCAAATCCTCCTCTCAAATGCTGCACTTGGGGGCAAACGGGGCAGAAAGATTTTTATTTCTAATTGGATTTAAAAATATGAACTGGTTTATCTTTTCCTTCGCATGATGAAGAAAAAACTGATATTCTATATTTTATTCTCATCAAGAAATCCCAAAGACCAAGAATTAATTAATACGACTAATAAATATTGTGTGAATATCCAAAGCTTGACGTATCTTATCAGTCTGTTGCCATAGAGCTCCATTATTGTGCAACTATTTAAAAACCATCTCTGTTGCACTGGGTGACATGTTCCTTCATTAACATAAACACACATGCTGTAGTTTATTCACGCATACGTCACCTTGTTGAACCAAATACTCAAAGAAAATAATCCCCAACAAATGCACTATTTCCCACTAGTCCCATCAGGAAAAATAAAACCAGTGTCATCGAGTGCCAACCTGCTGTCTGAATGATTTATCAACCAAATGCTGCGGACATGACATTCAAGTCAAGAGGACTTCATTCCTCCAGGTAACCCATGCAGGACACGCTGATCCCGTCCACAGGCCACATGACGGGACACTCGAGAGGAAAGCTACTCAGTCTGCAAGAGACCGGGCCGCAGGAAATTGGCTGCTCCAACAATTGTAGAGATAAAATGAAAAAGGATTTACTGATAAGTCCTGACTGATTGCTGCTATTATTCCTACATGTTGATAAAATGATGAACTCCAGGTTTAGCTCCTCAAATGTACTGATTTATGTTTCTCTCCGAGCCACCTTCCCTTCACTAACACACTGGAATGCACCACAACACGCCCTTTGACCCCTCCTACATCTGATTTCCCCTTTGGCCCCTGCCAACAGCGCACAGGGTGCACACAAGACCCTCAACATCTGCAGGCCGTTCAGGCTGGAAACACTGAAACGCCTGCTCTTTCATTTGTTGGTTGGTTGTGATAACAATGTGATCAGCTGCCTGCTGTGCAGGTACAGAGGGATTGTGGTTGTTGTTGTGGGTGGTGGTGGTGGTGGTGGTGGTGGAGTGGCTGGTTAGACGAGACGAGACTCGGCGAGCTGGAACAATATTGCACGCACGTGACAAAAGCACACCCGAGTCCATGTGATCTCTGCAGGGTACAGCCTGTGCCTTGGCTCTGAGTCCAGGCTGTGTCAGAGCTGAGCCCGGCGAGGGAGGGAGAGGAAGACTGGACGGGAAGCAGAGAGTGTTAAAGGGAGAGAGGAGAGGAGAGGAGAGGAGAGGGGAGGGTGGAAGTGAGAGTGAGTATGAAAGGGAGGGAGGAGAGGAGAGAAGAGAGGAGAGGCAGGTTCATGCCGTGACAAGCTCCTGTTTGCAGCTCAGAGCTGCACACGGCGCCTGCATGTGTCCGTCACATGGCCCGGCACGCTGCAGGAAACCCCAGCCGCGTTCACGTGAAATGTGAAGACGCACACACACAGACGGACCCAAACAGAACACACACACACACACACACACACACACACTCACTCACTCACTCACTCACTCACTCACTCACTCACTCACTCACTCACTCACTCACTCACTCACTCACACTCACACAGAGGCTGAAGTTCTATCTGTGCATGTAAGGCCCATGTGCACTCACTCTGGAATAAACAGTACTGTACAGTTGCACCTCCTTCACCTCTAACCGACTCTCCTGTTCTCAGGTTTGAGCTATAACTCTATTGGCTGAGTCTCCACAGTTCTCTGAGTAGCAATTTTGGAAGAAATTAAAGATTAATCTTTAATTTTAAACTAAATATCTTTGAATTTTTGACTTCTTCATGGGACATTTTTCACAATTGATCACAAACAATAATTTGTTAGATGCAGCTAACACTGCACTGTTTCTTATTGCAGGATGGAGCTGGGCAGACAGGGGGCCATTAGGGGCTCAAAGGAGGGTAAAACTATCTTAGCTCCATTGTACTTATGGAAATAGAGTCATTATTAGGCTGATGTCATCATCATAAACATCATAGAGTATACAATCAAGTAGGAAGTGTGGATGAAGAAATTGATGATACATTAAAATATCAATGATTTTTGCTACGTTTCTGATTGTTTCTTTTTATCTAGATTTGCTGTGAAATATGCCTTTTAATATATTTTTTTCATTTTTTTCAGTTACTTTTCAATCTATTTACTTATACTTTTAATAACTGTAAAAGCACACTGGTAAAAGATCCTTTTTTCAATACCAATTTCATCAAATCCATTTTAACAAAAAGAAAGTTAGAATACACACAATGGTACAAATTTTTAATCAAATTTAAGTTTTATTTTGAAAATCTTCCTCTTTACACACTCAAATGTGTTCAAGTAAATAAGCCAGCATTATCAGATCTGGGTCCAAGCATGCTGCATGGTCACATTCAATGATACCATAAATTCTATTGTCTAGCCCTATTACTGTATTGTAAACAAAGACTAGATGTGATATGATGTATTTAGCACATTATAGTGCATGTAACGCAGCGTTTAAAATACCTCATCAAGGTTTTGTTCCTTCCTAATCTTGAAACTAGAAGACACAACACACTGAGTGGATGTGTTTGTGTGGTGGTGGTGGTGGTGGTGGTGGTGGTACACCAGCTGTGGAGATCTACAAACATCATGATGACATTTTTTTTTTGTTGGCAGAAATAGACCTAATGCAACACTTACTATGGGGCTTTGTGATTTGTGGCTCTTTCAGGAAGAAGTCATGGACGATTTCACCCAACAAACGAGCAAACGGGTCGGTCACATGTCGTGTAATTAAGCGATGGATGAGCAGTGGAGTGGCTGCTGCTCAGCTCGAAAACAGTCCTTGAGAAGTTGACAGGATGGTGATCAATCATCATTCATCATCATCCAAACTGTCACATCTTCCATCATTAAGATCAACACACAACTGCACAGAACTTTAATCTGTGTATGACTGATTGTAATTTAAGTGATCTGAATATTCTCACTGGTCCGTTAACACACTCTATTAGCTCCCATCGTCAGCCCACCTCTTCAGTGTTTACAGGTAAGACACACACACACACACACACACACACACACACACACACACACACACACACACAATGAGCCTCCTCAAAACACTCCAATCTGTTTATCTGTCACTTATCATCACATCTTCTGCCAGGAGGCCTTTTGCGCGTCTGAGTTTGGATGTGAAACACAAACTGTCTCCGGTGCCGTGGTTGGGTTTGGCCTGTGGAGAGTTTGCTCTCTTTATGTTTACAGTGGAGGTCGGCCCCTTGAACGACTCAAATCACTCTGGTGTCTGGTGAATTGAACAACCCAAATAGTGTCTGGCAGCAGCTTAACAAACCCAGTTACACAGTTTAATGCTTCAGTGTAAATACCAACTGCCTGCTTAATGTCAGCTCACTACAATAATGAGATTTTACATTAAGAATAGCTTCATTTGATCACTGAAATCACTGGAACTCAGTGCTGAAATAATACATCTGTAAAGAAATAAACTGCTTTAACACTGCCTTTCTTGACATTTTGAAATATTTTGATGATTCCATGTAGATGCTAATGTACAGATCCATTTAATAACTTAAAATTCATCAAAAATTTGTCTCATTGCGTCCACACTGCAGGACAGAGGCTAAATGAAGTCTAGCACGATTTAGCAATTTATGAATCACATTTCTGACTAACACAAGCAACTTTTAATCAGCCACCGCCAAACCCCACAGGGAAGTCTTGGTAATAAAAATAAATGGGGAAGCCAACTGTTACAAAGGAAAAATAGACTCTACAACACATCTTCATAACACAGCACAGAAAAACCTCTAATAAACATGAATCATGGCAGACAAAGTCTGTTCTGCCAGTCAGAGCTTCATGAATGAGACTGTGCTGCATCCTTGGACTTGAGCCTGATTAGCCTGTGCAGTGGGACTCCAAAGTCCAGTGCAGGGCTGTAAATCAGAGCTGAAGTGTGTTAGTGTGTATCTAACCTTCAGACAAATGCTCCAACCAGGAGAAGCAGCAGAAACTAAATGAGAAACAGCTCTAAAGCAAACTCTAAGCCAATGACGAGGGACTCAGGGCACAAACCACAAGATCTTTGTTCTCTCATCACATCTCAGAGCTGACAGTTACTCAAATGGTGGATGGAAAATGTGTGTGTGTGCGTGTGTGTGCAGCAGGTGAGCAAACAGCAGTTAAGACCTCTAGAGCCTCCCCTGACACAGAGGAGGTGTGAACAAGAGTGTGATCCCACCTGCTGGGTGCAGGTGTGATTTTCAGGTGCACATCAGGCTCCACTGCATGTGCTTCTTACCTGCTGTGCTGGGACTGTGGAGGCAGGTCTGAGGGGCCATGCCTGTGTGAACCGAGGTGGTGGCGCGGCTACTGAGGTCCACCACAGTGGGTGTGGGCGGGGCGGGCGGTGGGGCCTTTTGGAGAGGGGCCTGTGCCGGCTGCGCTGCCTGCTGAGCCTGGTCGCTCTGGGTTGTGTTGGCCGGGATGCCATTCTCGGAGAGGAACTCCTCCAGATCCATGTACTCCAGCTGAAAGTTGTCCCCATCGTAGGGCAGGGTCTTGTCCCAGAGGGTCGGGCCGAGGAAGGCCGACTGTGGGTGGTTGGCTGTGCTGCTCTCATCGTCAAGCTTCTTTTCTTTCTCCTTGTCTTTACCAAATCCTGTAAATGTTTGCACACAGTCATATCAGTGTCTCAGATCACGGGTCAGTGCATGGGTATAAATAGAAAGTATGCCTGGAGTTTCATCTTAATGGGTCAGTTTAACCAATTTTAAGGAAGAAAAAGTTGAATTTGAAATATTAAAATTTTCACTTTAGTTGTCGGTCTGTCAGTTCATTATTTCTTTAGATGTGTTGGTGGGTAGTTTTTCAACATTGTATGTAAAAACAAAACTGTGTACAATTGAGGTCTATCTAAATTAATATGTGGATATTTTATTGTACAAATAGAAATTATCTGTATGGCTGATTGGGGAAAAGGGTGTTGTTACTTAGGTGAACTGACCCCTTAAGATTAGAAAAGGGGTCTCTATTGGTGTTCAGATGATGGAATAACAATCAATGCATTCAACAATACAAACAGGGTGCACTGCAAGCATTGACAACAGCTGAAGAGCTGAGAAGACGCCCTCTATCGACAGTCTGTGGTATCCCTAACCCATTGAAGACGAGGGTGTAAAGGTTGTGAGCGCACCTAAGAGCTAAAAACAGCGCAGTCTCAACAGTAGCACATGCAAATCTGGTCTGTATTATACAAATTTAGATCGTAAGTACAAACTGAAATAGCTCGTTAGCTTGAGCTGAAGTTCACGTCAACCTGTCAGTCAACTAACACTGAACCGAGACAATCAGCATTTTGTTTTATTTATCTCTGCCGCTCCCAGACTATTAAGATTAGTTTATTTTTCGGCAAAGATCGTAGACTATTTAGAGGAGTCGCTCTCGGTGGGTTTAGTTAAGCAGTGTCCTTCACTGCGCTGCATCTGTCAAAACCGTGGATGCCTGCAGAATGAAAATAACAAGCTGCGGAGAGGCACCTCAGAGAGGAGGTGAGAGCCGAGTCCTTGTACGTGCAAGTCAAGTTTTTTGCTCGTTTTCAAACGTACCTTCATCGTGATGGAAAGGCAGCTTCAGCGGATTTTCCAGCAGGGATTTCAGTACGCAGTGAGTCGGCGGCAGGAAAGTTGGGTTTAAAGGAAGAGGTCTGGCCATTTTCTCCATATATCTTGCAGGGCAATTGGAGAATAAAGCTCGCAATGACTGAAATTTCCCCCCCAAAAAAGAGACGCGACCGAACTCGCTTGCCGGCCCGTGGAGGTCCTCGTAGACGAGAAAAACGACGCCGGGGCTCGGAGGGCGAAGACGGGACTCCGCGCAGCAGCAGGACGGTGAGCGGCTGGCTGTCTGTCGCTGAGGCTGGCTGGCAAATAGCTGGAGGAGGAGGGCGGAGGGAGCGGGGCTTTGGCGGAGCCTCTACACTTCTCCATCCATGTGCGGAGACGGACGTCGGTGACGTCAAAGCACCGGGAGGGCGGGGAAACATTCTCGCGACGCGTTCACTTAGCGTGGGAGAAAACAGCTTCATGGTTCTGAGCGGGTGCTTGGAAAATGCTTCCTTCATGGGCTGTTGGACAAATGGTATTAATATTTCTGAGGCGATTAATCTAGTGATTGAGTGAAAGGGCAGACAGGGCAAAAAACATTAGCCCTGTTTTATAATAATCATTTTTAAGTTTAGTTTAGCTTTATTCTGTGATTAAACATTGATGAGTATTGTTATCATGCTCTGTTGTCATAAGACTCAAAATCAATCGCCAATCCTCAGCTGACATGATTAATTGATTAATCAATGAGTCATCAACAGAAAAAACTATTTTAATAATTGATTAATAGTTTCAGTAATTTTTCAAGCAAAAATTGTAATAAGTAATGCTAATGATATTCTGTGATTCCACCCTCTGAAATGCAAGGATTTGATGCTCTATTTTGTCATTGTAAACAGAATATTTTTGAGTGTTCAGTTGTTCGAACAGAATAAGACATTTAAAGACGTCCCCTTTGGTTCTGTGGAGTTTTGATGAGTTTAGTCGTTTATTTATTTTTTCAACCCAACCAAAAACATTTTCCAAAAGTATAACTGTGAAAAGTTTTCACTGAAAACACTATTAAATCATTTGTCATCAGACCACCCCTCAAACCAGAGAGATCATCATCTTTATTATAATGTTTTAAGCCTTCTCTCAGGCCATAACTGGGCTTAACATTAACTGCAAATAAAAGGAACCAAACAACCAGAGCCAACACATTAAAGATTCAACCAGTCATTTCAGAGGTTTTCTCAGTGTAAGAAGACATTTTTTGCTTTCCACTAAAACTCCCCTGGATGCAGAATATGCTCTCAAAGTCAGACAAGTATGTGATTCTTTATGAATAAAGCAGCTTGATTTTGTGAGACATTAGATTCCTGACTGGTTCAGTTTCTTCTGTCAGATGAGATGTGTGTTTAAATGTAGTATAAACTCTCCAAAACCACATTTCAAACAGAGGAAATGTCATACTGTTTATGTCACGACCAATAAAAAAAAAAAGCTTCTCTGTGCTGCTGTATTCGACTGTAAATCTGAACAGGGAGGAAACAATCCACTGTAGTGCCACAGTGAAGAATGACGTGAATCTAAACTTGACCTACTTTCTGCCAATGGGTGTTGTCAGACTGCAATTCTATCTGCGCGGGTCGCGGCACATGGAAACTCACGCTGTCTGAAGTAGTAGTGGCTGAGTCATGGTTTTAAATCCTCGCTCTACTCTGCCCATTCTGTTTGTTTTTAATGAGTAGTTGGTCTGTGTCATTAGCATCACATCTTTTCCACAAAAAAGAGAAAAGAAAAATGACAAGAAAGACAAGCTGCATGCGGAGATACATGACAAAAGGAGCCAATTGTGCAGACGTGGATCAGGACCAGACTGGGACAAATCCTTTTTTTTTTTTTTTTTTTTGAAATTATCCTTGTGCCTATGAAAGTGTCACACCATATCAAAACACAGATCTTATTTTTCATGGACACTGCTTTTTGCACGAGCTCCATGTGGGTGTTTCCCCATTCACAATCTCACCTCTGTGTGAATACCAGGAGGCACCACCATCATTTTATATCCTGATAAAGAGCTTTTTTCCCCTATCTCCCAGCCTTTAATCCACTTAAATATCAACCGTAAACTCAGGCTTTATGCATCATCTATGATCTGAAAATTTGTCTTTTTTTTTTTTTGTTGCATGGCACATTGGACAAAGACAGTGTTCTTCCGCCAAACAGGCAAATTCCACAATAAAGTGCCACATATCATCTGGGCATTTAATCATATTTTCATTTCATTTGACCGTCCTGCAAAAAAAAACAGACAAATCAAAAGGTATAGAGAAGGAGTGCCGACTGTAGAAGAGAAATGAATATTTTTAAAGTGAGAGAGACAGAGTTAAAAAGGAGGATATATACACAGACAGATTTCCAGAGACTGGACACAGATACAGCAACTGTGCATCCAGCGAGTGTGGAGTATATTTCACATCCAGGAAGCAGAAAGGAAAGAATCCAAGAGAGAATGAGGAGCCGTCCAATGAGCAGAAATGATTTTACACCAGCTGACAAGATCCTTCTTTCCTAATCTGTCATCATATATATTCATATTTCTATTCTTCTAAATGTTTGATTTTTCACCATTAATAAAAAAAGTATGTCACCAAACTCTTCAACTTTCTTCTGACCTATTGATCTACTGAAGAGTCACCAGTTCCATATATCTTCCAGCAAACCTCTTGTGGTTCCATATTGTGTCAGGGTTTTCGAGGTAAGTTGAACCCAAATGCAGCCAATGCATGGGAGACGGTGCAGGCAGGTTTATTTAACCACACGTGAACGTGACATGAACAGACAACGTGAACAGACGTGAACAAAACCGGAAGACAACAGGTAACATGAGCAGACTTGGACAGACTGAGGACAACCAGACGTGAACAGCACTATGACAAAACAGACATGAACGGCTTGAGGGAAATCCAGAAATCCACAGGTAATCAATAGACATGAACAGATCGTGGCTACAACAACAGCGAATAACAACAGACGAACCAACATAGACAAAGGGGAGCACAAAGACTATATAGACACAGGAGGCAAGGTGATTGCACACAGGTGAAACACATTAGGGCGGGGCAGACAATCACTACACAGAAACAGGACCAAGACATGATGCAAAAACACAGACAAACAAGGAACCAAATTACAAAATGAAACAGGAAGTGCAAGAATTTCCAAAACAAAACTAACAAAAAGTGTCTGCCATAACAAAACATGACATATTGTCCATAGAGTCAAAGAAGATCTAATAGCACTTATTCACACACAGAAATATCAGCCAAATTATAAATACCTGTAAAAGGAAGTTTCATCTTTAAAATGATAAGAATATATTACCCCAGCTGCAAGTCAAGTGCTGTAAACAGTCATTAATAAGATTTTTAGTCTTTACATTTGAACTCTTAAATAGTTATATGGTGAAAAAGTGGACGTGCTGTAACTAATCATATCAATTCTATCAAATTCTGCCTCAAAAGAAAAACAACACTCTTATGACTTTGCTTGAGAGCTGCTATGAGACCAAAAGGTTAAAGGTCAGAGTCAGAGTTGATGCATCTTTGGGTCACATGGGCTCATTGTTTAATGCAGTACGTGGAGGAATAATGTGTGGTTTTTTGTTTTGTTTTTTTTTATAACTGTGAGAAAAGTCTGTGGAAGGAAAACTGTGACGTATGAGCCGAACAAAACATGTGTTGTATGAAGGCGGTCAGCTGAACAGAGCAGCGTGCCCCTGAATCACTGCGGCACAATTAGTCAAGGACACATAAAAAGACAAATTCAAAGAAACACAGGCGTGCAAAAATGTGATTTCGAGCTGTGACAGCGGACCACAAAGACCTGTGTGTGGAGGCAGACGGGATTACACAGTTTTAACAGAGAAAAACTGCTCCTCAGAGTCGGCGTCAGATTTCCATAAGATATTTGCTTTATTGTGATGTTTGTTGTGCGGATGAGGAACAACAGTCATAAAACAGAACGACCCTGAAGATAAACAAGAGCTCCGGTTATGTGTTCATGTTCGTGTTTATATTCAGCGGCTATAAGCAGGAAGTTAACAGAAATATTTGTACTTCAGCTGCATGTTTTTGCAGGAGTTTTCATCAAATGCATAAACACCTGCAACATGTTTCCCCTCCCCCATGACTTGATCAGAACTCGTAGGGATCATTATGGGAACAGTCCCTGTGTTGCCAACTTTAGCCTAAATGCACAAAAACCCCACAGGAAAAAAAAACACATGCAATGCCGTCTACTATTAAAGAGTGTGTGGCTGCTCATCCATTATTGTTTTACTCGCTGGTTTTACACACATCTCGTGCCACAATACAACAATCCTGAAGGAACTACCTTTTACTGAAGAAATATTCCCGATGAAAACCGTTGACGGTGAAGTTTGTGTAGCACGCACAGCAACTGGAAAAACATGTTGACTTTTTAAGATGTGTTCAGTAAAACAAACAATAATCTGCACAGGGAAAGGAAGGATGGAGAGGTGCGTCTTCACAAGGTGAGATTGGAGACATGACTCTGTGTGCGATAACATGTCTCCACCTGCACACACAGAAACATTACACAACAATTCACTGTTTACAGATGATGAAAACTCTATTCTGAAATTCACCATTTGGCTAAACCATAATTTTCTTCCATCCATGCATCCATTTTCGAAAAAGACAGACAAAAAAAAACCCACCAGTCTCTGAGTCATTTCACTCAGACAATGGGTGTGTGGACACACACTCTGCCAGGGTCGTTTGCTCAGCTTCTCCCTCAATGCAATGCTTGTGCAGTGTTCTCTGCAGTGAATAGTGTAATCTTCTTTTCAGGATTAAATTATAGATGCAGTGATAACCTACCTATCAATGTATTCTGCTGTTTTTCTTTTTTTTTTGTTTGTTTAAATGCAATGCTTTTCTGTCTGGAGGCCAAATAAAACCAGCATTACTTTCATGAAAAAAAAAGAAGCTTCCTCATACAGTTTGTAGGATTTATATGACGACGATGATAAAATGTACGAAGTGATCGAGAAAAGGAAAAAAGCTGTGAGGCTGACATATACAAAGACATCTTATATTTATCATAACCACTATTATTAATGACATTATCGGTGGAAAGTGGGTTCAATATGACAGAAGCTTGGTTGCTAATTCTCACATGGCTTTGTTCACAGGGGCCCTATCATGTCAAAACAGGAAAGCACCTTCCCCAAACTGTTACAACACATTGTGGCCTGAAATATCAGTGTAGCAGTGAGATTTCTCCTCTCTGGAGCTAAACGAGCTACAGCAAAAAAATAAAAACAGCCCCACAGACCAGAACTACACTGAAGTATG